CTCTCGCTAGATGTCGATAGATTGCAGATCAACTGCATAAGTGCATAATACTCGCTGCAGGACAAACAAACTGTGACTGAAGTTCATCTGTAGTGAGCGCAGGTTGACAGTCCACTGTTTACCTCAGCTGTCAATACGTGTCCATGTTGATTTGGGAGGGAGCTGTAAAACTTTGTGAAAGGAGTCTGATATGAGTCGATGAGTCAGTGATGTTCATGCTGATGTCTAATCTGCTGACACAAAGTAATTGTGACAATATTGGGAATAGATAAGCATGTTTATGCACGTTTATTATGTGTCAGAGCCCTGACTTCAGTTCAGGAGATGAGGCTTGAGGAAAAGGATGATATTACGTCTAAACCAGGGGTGTGTCAAACATAAGGGCGGGGGCCGCAATTAGCCTGGCAAAGACTCCAATGCGGCACGCTGGATGGCTTTGGAAATGTGAAAGACACCATACTTTTTTTTCTTTCTTTTTTTTACAGCTTTTCCTACCCTTAAAACCTCTCTCGTGGCCAGTCACAATATGCCAAAATAATTCAATTATACATTTCTGTAATTTTACATCTTAGTTCTCACATTGGGGACAGATTTCTTTTACTTACTAAAGCAGCATTTTTTGCCAAAACCTGAGACATGATGTTGAAATTGCTCTTCCACGTCTTATATTAAGACATTTCATTGATCGAATGTGTAGCTAAACATTTTACACTGACAGAAATTGGAGTTAGATACAAATTCAAATTTGCCACCACAACATGTGAACAACTGCGAGCCCTGTTCTCTTCCATATTCGGCATACTGCGCACGTGGTCAGTCTCTATTGACATTGTGTTTTATGTGTGAATCTCAGCCACCGTATCCAAAATATCAGGCCAACATGACAAACCATCGCCTGCTTCTATGCATTTCTAATTGATTAATTTTGAGTTGATCATTATGCATCAGTTATTAGAAGATATAATTACACACTAATGTGTATTTATTAGTAAAATGTATATTTCTTTTATTAAATAATGTGGGGGGGGGGTTATTTCTGATTGTATCTTTAAACTGAGAGGTGTTAGCTGTGAATCAAGTAAAGCTCCAAGAAGAAGAATACAGAGCTGAAAGTGAGCTTAATTGGTACACTTTAGTAAGACAACAATACATGTTTCTAATAACCTGAAAAATGGAACAATTAAATGAAATTTAGACATTCTTAAAGTTATTAGTATCAAAGCAAACAAAATTACAAAGAGCAAAGTCTTTCCTATATTTTGTTATTAGCTGACCACTTTTAGAGTATTTCTTTCTCAATGATTATGATTTAACTTATATGCACAATCACATGCAATTTATTAAATGTACTTATGGTTTTGAGTGAACTTTGGTCTGCAGTAATGAAGAACCACCTTTATTATTATTATAGAGCATATTATAATAAGTGTATGTATGGTTGGCATTTGTCAAGTCATTAATGCTTAGGTTGCATTATCTCTATATTTTTTAAGATAAAGCAGTTATAAAGCAGATGTAGCATTCGATAACTGAGGTTCAAATCCATAAACAATAACCTGATGAGGGCAGTGTGTGTAAGTGTATTTGGAACCAAAGGATGCACCAAATAGTTGTTTTGGTCTTGATAATAAATGCTTGCACTAAGTATCATGTCCAAGGACTGCTGCAACTGCAGCATCTGCTGGGAAAACAATGCTTGACTTGCA